CTTTTAAAATTAGTCCTGAGGCAGAAGCAGAAGAAGCAAAGGAGGAGGAGGAGGAGATTGGATTTATACCCCGCTCTTCACTCAGACTGGCTTACAATCTCCTTTCCCTTCCTCTCCCCACAACAGACACCCTGTGATGTAGGTGGGGCTAAGAGAGCTCTTAGAGAACTGCTCTGAGAGAAATTTGACTCACCCAAGGTCACCCAGCAGTCGCATGTGGAGGAGTGGGGAATCAAACCCGGTTCTCCAGATAAGAGTCCGCCACTCTTAACCACTACCCCAAAGGGTTATGATACCATGTTCTTGGGGTTCTGAGTTCCTTGAAACCCAGTTTGCTTTCACTGTTACTTCACAGTTTCCTTTCAAAGCGTCAGAAGAAAAATGCCACTGTAAACAGCATGAGATAAAGGGACAATCAATAAGGAAATAGGTTAGCAGTATGCATGCTGGCTGTATATTTATGTTGTCCTCACAAACCTTGTATGTGTGAGACCTAGGATGGGCAGAGGTGTTGTCATGTGCTCGTAGATTCTTTCGCTATAAAGTGGTGCCTTTTAGAATTTACAAATAAATTGAAACATAGAAGCTGCAGGACAAAAACAAATTCACAAAAATTGGCTTCAGAGATTGGAGCCAAAAGTTTCCTGATTTTTTGGGGGGGGAGTAGCAGAAAAGAACTGTCATAATGCAGACATATTAAGCATAGACCTGTGTAAGTCAGGCTGTTACCCAATTCAAAAAAATCTTAGCTGGTTAACTGCATGAGTCTGAATCAACTAAATCTTCATGACTTTCTGCATTATGAAGAACACTGCATTCTCTTGTTATAGAAGTACCACAGGAGTTAATATTCTAAAAGAGGCATTCCCGCCTGTTCAAGATTTATAGGTACTTGTTTTTAAAATATTTTTAAAACTGTGCTGCCCAGTTAATGAGGGCCACTTTTTCAATCAATCAGTAGTTTTACAGTCAAATTATTAAATCATTTTACCCTGCATTGCAGATTTAGAGCAGCAGTCAAAGTAGTAAAATACATCAAAATTAAAATGATCTAATATTTAGTTATTTTACAGCATTTACTGTCTGCCTTTCACAGCCAAATCAAGCAATTAATTGTCACAGCCTTACTTTCGAAGTAACAAATATTTCTATATGAGAAGGGAGATTCCCTGCGATCCCCATATAAATTACTCTGTTTTTTGAAAGACGAATAGAAATGGAGAAACAACAGCATATGCCTTCGAGCTGGAAGGTTTTTCTCTCCAACAACCAGTGTTGGCCCCACTCAAAAGAAAGGTAAGTAACAAATAATCAACGGGTAGAATTACCCGGGGGGGGTGTGTGTCTCAAGTGAAAACGGAGCCAGTAGCAAAGCTACTTACATTACATTTAATGCCCTGACTTGCTTAATGGACCACAAAAAGAAGGAAAAAATGATTTCTAAACCATTGAGAACCCTTGATACAATTATTATGGTTTGGCTCTTGCGCCACCACTGCTGTCCATGAAAAATGTGTCCTGTACTTGTACTACAAACAGCCTATATTACATTTCTTACTTCCTTTCTTCAAATTAAAATAAAAGGGGGAAACTCGAAGCTGTGACAGAAACAGAAGTGTTATGCCAGAAGGCCTAGAAGTATAACACCTTAATCCCTGTTAATCTTAATCCTTACACCTTGCTGGTCTCTTGACACCCAGTCCTTCCTCAAGAATCATGTTACATTTCTAGGTTGGCTACCAGAGGACATTCCTTGCCATTAAGTGACTCAAGTTTGCAAGTTTTTCATTCTTCAGTCCACTGGAGTAAGTGGTCCATTCAATTTGTGAGTACTGCAATACCCAAAAGATCTCAAAACAGCAAATTCTTGTCACAAACATACATATTCCCCTATGGCATGGAAGAAAGAGTCAACCCCCTCCATCAATTATGTCCTCTTATAGCACCTTCAATGTTGAGGAAAGAGGCCAGGGATTTGGGGAGCAATTCTCTCTCCGCTTTGTGGCTGATTTTAAGAGTTCTTCCAGATTCCCTTCTGTTTCCTGTTCAGTCAATAAATCTGTGCAAAGAAAAACATATGCTCTTACAATAGCCCACATTGCCAGCAGGCACACAACCAGCTTGGCCCATGCTCTGTAGACCACCAACTGCAGCAGCACTTCATTACAAGTAGAATGTGTGGTGCCAGATGGGAAGAGAAAAATGGGGAGCTAGCCAAAGCAGACTGGAATAATGCCTGTGAGCCAGTTTCACCTTTTTTGATGGGGTACAGATCTACCATACCAGCATTCCTTAAAGTACAGGGAGGCCTTACTTCTTTATTCCACAAAGTAGAGAGAGAAGGGGGGAAAGGAAGAGGAAAAAATACTAACTCAAGCAGATCATTTCCACACGGCCTATACAGAGATGTAGCCTACGCCATGTCCCCAAAATAGAGACTAACTGCAGAGAATTAGGATACTTCTAAAGTTTCCATTGGTTACTAGTTTGTTTTTTCTCTGCTAGGCTATGGAGAGAAGTGTCAAATTCAAGGATGACAATTTACACACAGGCAATGCTAAAGCATTTTGAAATGTGATCTTGTTTCTTGAGTCACAAATGCCAATGGATGTATTGGAGTATATTGCCCAAGTTATAAGATCAAATCTCAAACAAGATGTTCAGAATGCTTAAGGATGTAAATGCAGTAAAACATAGCAGACAGAAATTTTCCCTTGCAGATGCAAATGGCTATGTCAGAAACTGACCAAAGATTGTGGAGAGGGGACAGTATTCTAGTCTGTATTACATTAGGTCATCTCTCATTAGAGAATATAAAGAGGTATATGTGACAAGACATAAAATTTGGGTTAACACTGGGAGGATCAAAATGATGGTATACCAGAAGAGATTGGTAAACCAGAAAACTAGAAGACAAAAAGGACAAGAGAAAAATTCTCAAAAGGTAACAAAAAAGAAATGTGAGACTACAGCATGTTTGCATAGGATAATGTACCTGGTGCCTTAATTTCCCATCATATGATCT